AGACCCACACTTCACCCCCTTCTTCTCTCTCTATGGGTCCTCAAACTAAGGCCCAGGGGCCGGATGCGGCCCTCCAAGGTCATTTTCTCGGCCCTCGCTCAGGCTCAACCTAAGTCTGTAACAACTTGAAAGCACACAACAACAACAACAACAATCCTATCTCATCAGCCAAAAGCAGGCCCACACTTCCCATTGAAATACTAATAAGTTTATATTTGTTAAAACTGTTCTTCATTTTAATTATTGTATTGTTTTAAGTGGTTTTTCAACTACAAATAAGATATGTGCAGTGCGCATAGGAATTCATTCATGTTTTTTCAAATTATAATCCGGCCCTCCAACAGTTTGAAGGAATGTGACCTGATTTGTTCCTGATTGTTCCTGATTCCTAATTTGTGTCATCCACAGTTAGCGAAGCTTGGCAGACACCCCTTGACTACCCACAGAACTTAGAAAAATTTTGGCATCACGTCCCATTGGTTTCCTTTTAATTTTTAAAAAACATTATTGCACTTTTTCAGTGCAATAGGAATTTACTTACTGTTTCTAAGTCCCTTTGTTTATTCTACAATGGTTCCAGCTCCTGCATGCTCTTGCAGCCACTCAAAAGTACACCACCTCATTGTAGAATACACAAAAAAGGAAAAGCCTTGTAATTTCAAAATACATCTTTATTTTTATTAATATTTTACTAGGGACAATGCTTGTGAACTTGGAAAACCAGAAAGTAATTCACTGCAAAGTTCCTGTCTTGCAAGATTTTGATCTCTTTCAGTTGTGCAATTCTTCTAGGGATTTTTTAAAAAAAAGAAATGATGGGCATGAATAAAGAGGGATAATGTACAGATTGGGAGGCATTACATCTCAGCAGCTATGGTAAACTAAAAGCACTTTCATGTTTTTTGAAGCTCTTGCAGGGAGGATTAGTGGTCCAGCTCAAACTAAGATGGGTTTCTAATGAGAGGAGTTATTTTTTAGACCATCCTGTGGTAACATCTGTGGATAGCTATGATGCAAACAAAACACTAGATATATCGGTCTTCAGCCTGATCCATTAATTAACAGACATTTTTACATACAAATGTTAAAATAAGCACCTCTAACTGTGTAATGTCTGCCTACTTTTCTTCAGACAAAGAAAAAAATCTTGGCTTTTTCTTTTTTCAGTCTTGGAAAACGAGCTCTTCCCTATTGATTTAAGTGTTACCATCAAACCTTCCAACATAGAGAAGAAAAATAGTGGACTAGATCCAAACATAATTTACTTGGCAAAGCAAAAACCAGGCTCTCCAACGTTACTGCTGTTCTGAACAAGGAAGCTATAAACTGCCCTAATTTGGCTCACATTTACAATACCTATCAGCTCTAAGTGCACAATATTAAAAATGTAAACTGCTTTCTCAAAGTATAGTATGTTCACCTTTCCCTGCAGGTCACTTTTCTACTTGCCCCTGTATATGTTGTCTGCCACTTTGGCCACATTGTCATGGGAAGTGAGCCAATATATCACCGAAACAAGGCAGACAGCATCTGGATTCTGTCGGTACACCAGCGAGAACACCTGTATTTAATCTTACCAGCCACAGAACAATGAAGTGCCTTTCAAATTGCAGTTGACTGTTAGTCAGGATTCCATATTGCAATAACTAGTTGGGTCTGCCGCATCTGTTGGTTTAATTTTGTTGGCAATTGTTTTTGTTTCCTTTTCTTTCTTTGTTTTGTGTTACCTTACTAACATCTGCATTTCCTTTCTCACAACATAGTGCATTCAGTAGTGAACAATCAGGATTTGTGGGAAGTGGGGTATATGAAATAGAAACCACCACTGTTATAACCTCAACAAAAAAACCCCCAACAAATATGAAATGAAAGTACCTTCAGATGATATACAGGTTCGCTTTCTAGGAGCCCTTCCACACAGCTCTATATCCCAGAATATCAAGGCAGAAAATCCCACATTATTTGAGTGTGGACTCAGGGCTCGTCCATACAGTAACTTTAATTCGGTAACTTCCATAATAAAGGAGCGACTGTACAGAAAAATGAATTAATTCGCTACAAACTAGGAAAACCCTGGTCTGTAGCTAATTAATTTTATAGTGGATTTAAACCGTTCCTTCTTGGAAGACACAGGATAAATCAACTATTTCTGGTCCTATAACCCTGGTAAACTGTGGGAATATCCCAATATTCCCACAGTTTACCAGGTTAAATAAGTACGGAAAAACTGTGAGAATACCCACTCCCTCCCCCCGAAGCCTCCAGACCCCTCAGAAAAGTAATAAAAACTTACCCAGCCTACATTACATGTCTCGGCTGGCTCCCCTGGCATGTAGAAATGCCGCGCCAGGAGAGCTCCCCCCCCCCCACTCCTGGTGCGTCATTTCTACGCTAGCCCCAAAAGAACATCTGATCACCCACCCCAGAAAGCGCATGGCCCCCAGGAAAATCCACGTTTTTTAAACACAGATTCTCCTGGGATAATGGCCTGTCTGGATCCAGCCTCAGATAACCTAGTTCAAAGCAGATATTGTTGGCTTTTCTGGGGTATTCTGGGATCTAGGGCTGTGTGGAAGGGAAAGCAAAAGAGAAAGGAGTTGAGGTCTTCGTTCTCTATCACCAAGAACAGGAATAGATTTTCAGTCTAGACTCTAGAGACAGTGGTTTGAATGTTAGGTTATGACTGTGGAAACCAGGGGCGGTTCCACACATACATTAAACCCACTTCGGAGCAGGTTTAAGAAGCCCGCTCCAAAGGGGGTTTAAATCCACATAGGCAGGGGAAAAATGGGATTTCCCCTTTGGCTGTCCACATGCTATCCTGAATACTTCCAGGATAACATGCGGCCATCCAAAAAAAAAAAAACAACCCAAATACCTTTAAAATAATAATAAAACTCACCGGAGCCGTTTGGCTTCTCTTCCTACTTGAGGGGACATACTTATTTATTTATTTATCATGTCATCAGCAACCATTGTATTACAATTCTAACAGAGCAAAACAAACACAGAGATTAAAAAGAAAAAGAAAGGAAAAAAGGGGAAAAAACCACACAGATTTTGCAAATTTGGTATTTGTTAAATGTCCTTTGACCAGTATCTGGCCACTTGGAGTGCCTCTGGTGTTGCCGCAAGAAGGTCCTCCATTGTGCATGTGGCAGGGCTCAGGTTGCATTGCAGCAGGTGGTCAGTGGTTTGTTCTCCGCACTCGCATGCCAAGGATTCCACCTGTAGCCCCATTTCTTAAGATTGGCTCTGCATCTCGTGGTGCCAGAGCGCAGTCTGTTCAGCGCCTTCCAAGTCGCCCAGTCTTCTGAGTGCCCAGGGAGGAGTCTCTCATCTGGTATCACCCATGAATTGAGGTGCTGGGTTTGGGCCTGCCACTTTTGGACTCTCGCTTGCTGGGGTGTTCCAGCGAGTGTCTCTGTAGATCTAAGAAAACTATGTCTTGATTTAAGTCGTTGACGTGCTGGCTGATACCCAAACAGGGGATAAGCTGGAGATGTCTCTGCCTTGGTCCTTTCACTATTGGCTGCTACTTCCCGGCGGATGTCAGGTGGTGCAATACCGGCTAAGCAGTGTAATTTCTCCAGTGGTGTGGGGCGCAGACACCCTGTGATAATGCGGCATGTCTCATTAAGAGCCACATCTACTGTTTTAGTGTGGTGAGATGTGTTCCACACTGGGCATGCATACTCAGCAGCAGAGTAGCATAGCGCAAGGGCAGATGTCTTCACTGTGTCTGGTTGTGATCCCCAGGTTGTGCCAGTCAGCATACTAATGACACCCAAAAACATAGGGGGAGCCAGGAGTGATTTTCCCACCTGCTTCATTTCTGGGTGTCATTGATATGTTCCATCAGAATGGAGGAGAAGCCAAACGGCTCCTGGTAACCTTCCTTTTTAATTTTTTTAGGGTTTTGTAGGGGGTTTTGGAGAGGGGATTGGAGCCCTCATAGTTTTTCAGGCTGAATCAGAAAACAACATGTGTTCACTTTAGGTTACCATAAAGTCAGAAATGGCTTGAAGGCACACAATATCAATGTTAATTCTGTTTTTGAACATTTACATTTATTTGCTTTTTGGAAATGATAAATGCATGAAACATACACAGTGCATTTGAGAACAGAACAAATAGCTTATTTATTTATTTAAAACATTATATTCTGCCCTTCTCACTCCGAAGGGGACTCAGGGCAGAGCACAACATATATATGGCAAACATTCAATGCCAGAACATAAAATAAGCTATAAACATATATAAATCCTAAAATCAATTATCTTGTCTTAGGCCCCTTCCACAGAGCTGTATAAAATCCATATTGAGCTGTGTTATATGGCAGTGTGGACTCAAATAACCCAAGGCCCTTCCACACACTCCTATATCCCAGAATATTAAGGCAGAAAATCTCACCTTATCTGAGTGTGAACTCAGATAACCCAGTTCAAAGCAGATATTGTTGTTTTTTTAATTGAACCTGCTGTTCCACTGAAATCAAATTTTCATTGATAGTGAATTCATACCACATGAGAACCCTTGATAGCACACCTTTCTCCATTTTTTAGTTGCACCAGTTCATCAATTTGTAGTTCTGTAATAATACTTCCACACGTCCTCATAATCTCACATTCCTGCACTGCTGTTATTACTTAATATCTTTAAGCAAAACTGTGCAACCCAAGCATAAAAACCATAAATACAAATATACAATAAAAAGGAAAATAGCCAGCTTGGGAACAGTAAAGTAGGTAGAACCCCAGCTCCTGTTTTCACTTTGTTGCTGGAATGCCAACACAGAAGAGAAAGGGAGCCATTGTACCAAGATAGGTGATGGGAACATTGCAGGATTAGGAGACATTGATAGGCTTTACTCATTAATAGCTAGGAATTGGAGAGTAGAAGGCAGATTGGCAGTGAGCTGTATATGAAGTCATGCAATAGGAACCAAAGGTACAGTCCAGCTTCAAGTCTCGTTTGCCTACCTCGTAAGATGAAAAATCACTAGTATTTCAGAATGAACTTCACTCTGAACAGTGCCATAACACATATTGGACACATTCATTTTTTTCTGAATAATACATGAGTACTTATGGACACTTTGCATATTACTACGACTTCCACAGCCCTTACTTGGCACATCTATAAAACTGGCAAGCTCATTGTTCATTGGTGCCATGGGTCCATACCTTTCCTTTCTCCCTGTTCCCTCCCATTGAATGATGTGCCTAAATATGTCCGCTAACATATGATTCTTACTGCTCAAAATCAAGAGCAGTGGAGACTTCTTGTACTGTGCATATACAATACAGCTCTGTGTATATATGTGCCATTTAAATCAATGGTTCCCAACCTTTTTTGACCAGGGACCACTCTCCAACAATAGTACCAAAAGGGTTACGAATCAGTTTTTAGTCAACTTTAGCTTAGGTTTGGTTATTTGGGGTGCTGATTCAGAAAATTGCATTGTACAATTATCATGAGAAAAAGGTGTCTCCACTGAAACTTTCTTGCCAATTCTTGTTTCCAGAACAAACCAATTTTTTCAAAACCCAATCTTCACAAGGACAGAAAGTGAGGCGAAATCTTCTGAACAGGGGCAAAGACAACAAAACAAATGTTACAGGAGTGTTAACCATTCCCTATGCTATCCTAAACTTTAAAAATGTACCTGTTATGACATACATACACATTCAACTTAAGGAGAAAACTAAAGACGCTGTCTTGTTTATAACCTAGGGACTGCCTATACACTCTGATTTATTACGAGTGGTTTCTATATCCTTGCACTCCAGTCACGTTACATACTTGCTATCCAGTCAGAATTATAAAGAAAAGGATCTAATGATACATGTTGGTTGCTGAGAGATTTTAAGGCATTTCCTCACAGTGCCACAGCAAAGGTGCTATTCTTGCAGAGATACCTGCTTGGCTTTCCTCTTTTTGGCAACATCTGGCAGCTTCATTGGCAGAACACGAAGAGGGACTCTTCTTTTGGAAAAAATGACCAAGTTCTTGGTAATGGAGGGGCCCCAAGCTGAATCGTTACTCTCCATCTCCGAGCCACCATAGCCAAATGCTGAGTCTTTTCTAACCCCAGAAGGGCTAACAGTTATGCTGATTCGAGGTGTATCTGGAATTGTTTCCTGAAACCCAAGGCTCTGCTTCCTCTGGGGCAGGTTAGCCTGGCTGCTGTGTGATTCGTCACAAGTCCTCCTTGGTGCTCCCAGGAACGCTTCAATTTTTAACTTGTCCTCCTCCACAAGCTTCTTGACCACAGGTGAGGTATAAGTGGTGTAGGCTGGCCACTTGCACGTGTGAATCAGATGCGGAGGGATGCCAATATTGCCTGACACGAGGCTTCGTTCTAGAACCCAAAAGAAAAAGAATCTTTTAAAAAGAATTTGCTTAGACAGCACTGGTGCAAGATACTTTGTTTCAATGTATTGTCAAAGGCTCTCATGTCCAGGATCACTGGGTTGTTGGGAGTCTTTCGGGCTGTATGGTCATGTTCCAGAAGCATTCTCTCCTCACCTTTCACCTGCATCTACAGCAGGCATCCTCAGAGGTTGTGAGGTCTATTGAAAACTAGAAAAAATGGTTTTATATATCTGTTAATCACCTCCCAACAAAGGATTCCCCCATGTAGTAAGAAGCCAGACATTGAAACTGCTAGGCCATTAAATCATGGTGACCAATTGAAACATTTACACTTACCTCAAACAGACAAGAGTTCTTTCTCCCACCCTGGACATTCCACAGATCTATAAACCGCATTTTTTTACGCTTCTGAAACATGGTCATACAGCCCAAAAAACAACACAACATCCTTTGCTTCCTGAGGCAAAGCAACAAATAGCACCCTCCTTCTCAAAAGTCAGGGACTCTGCCAAGTAGCTTATATCTTTCTTTTAAATAAGAAAAAAGACATTTTAGAAGTTTTCTGTGCTATAGCTGATTACAAGAGCTTTTTGCATTGAAGCTCTTTTTTACTATAATATACAGGTCTTTTTTCCATTTTTTTTCAAAAATGCAAGGGTTTTTTTTTTTCTATTACCAGTATTGACAGAAATCATCATCATTCTCCCAAAAACTGGAACTCATGGCAGCTTACTGATTAAAATAAATACCGGTTCTGTGTCCATAGATTCAATGAACCACGGCTTGAAAATATTGGGATGTGTGTGTGTGTGGGGGGGGGGGGACTAGAATACATTAAAGAAGATGAATGCTACTTAATATGCATTACCAGATTTAATACTTTCCAGGTCAAGGGAAATAATAGCCAGCCACATTAAATTTCTATGCTGGTCAGGCCACATCTGGAGCACAGCTTTGAGCATTTCATTTAAAGAAGAAATAAAGTAAGTTGGTGCAGGTTCAGAAATATGCAGAACAAAACGTATGAGTAATCTTGGTGAAAAGAAGATTGAGGGATGACAGGATTTAGTTCTTTAAATATCTTAAAAGTTGTCACAGAGAGGAAGGGGCAGTTTTGTACTCTGCTACTGTAAAGAGTAGGAACAGGTCTGTTTTTAAGCTACAGGAGGCTAGACGTCGATTGAACATTAGAAGGAACTTCTTGATAGTAATAACAGTTTGGCAATGAAACCTGGAATGGTATGGTCCCCTTCTCTGAATGTCTTCAAATAGAGGCCAGCCAGTTACATTTCTGCTGGGGATACTTTAGATGATCTTGCAATGAATAGGAAGTTGGACCTGTTGACCTATGAGGCCCCTTTCAACTCTATGAGTCTATAATGCAGTGATACCTTGACTTAAGAATTTAATTAATTCCGTGGCCATGTTCTTAAGTCAAAACTTTCTTCTCTCAAAGCGAATTTTCCCATTGAAATGCACTAAAATGCTATTAACCAATTCAGCCTCCCCCCAAAAAAAATCACCCCAATTATTTTTATCTGTTTTTAAATTAAAATACACTTTATAAATAACAAATAATGTATAAAATATTCAGAGATAAGCAGTGCTTGGTTCCTCCCCTCCCCACATGCCCGTTGCCTTGGCAATATAAGGTTTCGCAAGATCAATCACTCTCATTGCTGTGTGATTTTGAGACAACGGTGTAGTAATGGTGAGGCCACGGACCATATTTTTGTTCTTGTGGATCACTGGTGGTCCACAGACCACAGATTGGGAACCACTGCTCTAGGAAGAGGGAGGATTTGTACATTAAAAAGGTACTTATGTTGGGACAATCTCATGTAGAGGTTCTACTGCATGGTGGAAACTTTTAAACATGTTATTCAAGAAGCCAAGTGTTTTCAAGAGGAATTTCTCCTCCCACCCATGTTTCCCACAGCCAATCCCGTTTACCCTAAACATAAAAGAGATGAGTATCTGATCAATAATCATGAGTGCATGTCTTTCTTCGAAATGGCTTTGGGATGATCCTGAAAACCATTCAAGTATCCAGAAGAGCTGCAAAATCTGCTTTGTAATGTTTGGACAGAAAGGAGTGAAGAACACTGTCCCTTTTTTCATCAGTGCATCTAATCAGGAAGAAGTGAGTACATGGATCAATGACATGGATATGGCTGCTTTTTGGGATGATCCTTCTTTGCATTGGTATTTCTTCCAGGGTGTGGCTGTTTTGGTGAGCTCATTTACAACAAAATTTACTGCTATGTCATTTCTCTCCAGGCAGATCCAGTTGCTTGCAGTATTCATAAGAAATTATAGATCAATTTATGAGGATAAGCAGCAATGTCTCTGCCTGCAGGCAATAGATCAGATTGCAAAGAAGGTCTGTTATTTCTCACACAAAGCAGCAAACTACAAACTTCTTTCTCCTAAATAATGGTCATTGCCCTAGGCTTCTCTCTCTGCATGCAGATTGTACTCATGCAGAGACAAGTAGAATAAAAATATTTCAGGGCAAGATAATTTTTTTAATTGCACTTGTCTTTGTCCCACAAGTAAATATGCTGGACTTAATGTAACTGAAGTGTGTGAGAATTTTATGTGAGAGGACTCCATCTTGCTTTGGAGAACTTGGCATTCAATAAATGTAATGTTAAGGAAGATCTGGGAATGAACAACCCACTGCACAAGACAGACTTTTTATCCTATTCCCAAGCTTCCACTGATGAAGATCTGATGTGAAACAACTGGAAGATAAATCCCAAAGCATCCTGAACATTTATAGGCAGATAAGACATTCCAAGTGCAGCCAATCAAACAGAAATGTCAAAGCTTGTAGGGACACATTTGTGGACACAGAATTAGCAGAGCTTAGTGCACAGTGTCCAAAGATGTGCCAAAGCAAGCAAATAAACATAGGACAAAGAGCTCAGGCAAGGAAATCTACATAGATTCATAAATGGCAAGATCTAACAATTTCTACCTAGACGATTACAAGGCCCCAAAAGCCCCCCTTTCTGTTCCAGACATATTCAATGCTCCAGAAATGCCCTGAACACACACACACAAAAAGATTATTTTCAAAGGAAGCAACAGAGACATTACCTCTTAATTTGAGTAGAAGGCATCAAGGCCAACCCCAATTCATTGGATGGCCAGATGTACTATCGGACAGAGAGATGAAATCAACCTAGGTTGGGCTGAAAAGGCGGTTTTCCACCACAGAAGCAGCACTTTCTCATTACTTTTAAATTTTACTTTTAGAGGTGTTTTACAGGAATTTTAAGTGGATTATTTCTCCCATAAGCATACATTTTAAAAAACCTGCATCAACATTTTTAGTCATACTTTTGTAGTTTGTAATGAATTACACAGTTGCTTCAAAATGTAACTTCTAGATCCTGATCCAACCCAGTTCTGATCCTAAATCTAGCATTCCAGTCAATCCTCCTTGCCCACTGAAGTCAGGAGCATAGGATTCCTGCAAAAGTGGGAAAATGCTACTTTCTGAACCTGACAGAACCTCTCTCTGGGTATGTCAGGGTCCTCCAATATGGTTTTATGGTTACCTTCAAATTGAAGTTGACTATAGAGTTATACTGAAGAATCTAATGATTGCTCCATAAATACTTAAACCTGCAGAAGTTAAACTCCCAAATGTGTGTGGGGGGGCGGGGGGGGGGTTACTGTGCAGCACTCCTGATGCATTGCTGTCCAGTCTTTCCCTAAAGAAAGTTCCCTAACTTTCTGAGCTGCTCTGTTCCCATATCAAAGAGTTCACACTGCCAGTAAGCACTTCCCATTATATCACTCATTCCTTCTGAATCAAAGGATGCAACACTGAGGATCTCTCCCTCTCAGAGGAAGAAAAAAGTGGCATAATCACAGAAGGGGAACTCAGTGGAAGTAACAGCCCTTTCCTCCTCCTAAAGCTGGTGTGAGAAATCAGTTTGTTTCTTGGATGGAAAACCCACCCACCCACTCACAGACAAGGGGCAGAGGGACAGATAATTTTCAGTTTCTAATCTTGTCCCATACTGATGCTTCACTGAACTAAGCCCCATCCTGTTTTTCAGACCTTTAACACTTTGGCCTATAAAACTCTAGCTCTCGCCCCCTTTCTGCATGCCTTGTCACTTCTCTATGGTCACCCAAACCAGAAGGACTATGATGTTTTTCTTTATTTGCATGTCATGTCCCTTAGAGTAATTCCATTTTCCAAGGGATGGCAGGAAGCCATTTGAATCCCTTGAAACAAAAACCCAGCTGATAGAAATCTTGGAAGAGTTTCCCCTGGGACTGGGTAGCCTTTTGTTAAGAAGTATTCCATGGCCCAGTCATCATGGACAAGCCCCCTGGTGACAGATAGGTCACGAGATGTCATGATTTAACCTTGTACAGAAAAGGGAAAGGGGAATATTCCCCTCCCCACAATCTCAGGAAAAGTATTTCTTTTTTTCTTGAAAGTGGTGGGAAGGAGAACACACAATGTTAGAGTCATCTATCCAGCAGTAAACTTCATGATGAATTATTGCTTCTTATTCTGGCCAGAAATTGGCATGGAGGCAATTTTCACACTCTTCTATTTAAAGACAATTTTCCTGTGGTGTGTGTAGGGGGGGAAGGGGTGAGAGGGACGACAGAAGGAAAAGAATTAAAGCTGTTGGCTGTAACTCAGCATGTTCTGACAGCACATATAAGATCAAGTAGTAAAAGCAAATGAGGGAAAATGGAATTATCCTTTGAAAGAGGGGACTTTTCAAAAGGGTAAGTTCTTTAACTTTTTTTTGAAAAATGGAGGCGGGGGGAGAGGAGACTCTTTCTTGCTCTTCTTTGTTCAAAAGCAGTGTGTTCTTAGCACCTTCTGCTACTAAAAATCTGGACTCCTATATATTTTGCCATATGGTTTCCACCAGAAGGCACTCCTATCTCCAAAGAGAACTGAGGGTAGAATGAGGAGTGGTAAATGCTTTGCAATTGAGAGAC